AACTCAACAACGCCGTAACCGAATTTCAAAAACCAAACATGAAATGATATCAGAATTTAACGTAGCATCTGAATATGTAATGATATACAGGGCGTTCTATTTTAAAAAATGGAATTTTGGTCTGTAGCACCTACACCAAACACCCTGTGTATTTAAAAATTATATCAAAATATAGCTCTCATGAACTCCTAAAACTTTTGTATGAAACATTTTTGTGTATCTCCTTCAACAAACCAGATATTGCCTGTCACATAAAATGTGGGACACCCGGTATATGGTTCAATTATTAGACCAATAATCGATTACATCTCCCCAATTACAGAGAATACAGATCTCCCAAAACAATCCATGGCAGCATTAATTTTCCGGAACTTGTTGAACTTTCAATTCTAAATCAGAATCCAAAGAGAACAAGAAATGCAGAAATCTTCAATATAGAAATACAAGCCTGTCACAGTTGCTCAAAGGCCTCTCTCTCTATGTGACTATCCCCATTTCCAATGCTGAGACAACTATCACAGCAAATTTTTGCATGATGAAAACACAGGACCAAGAGTTACATGTACCCCAGTTGAGAATACCATATCGTAGATGGCATTTGATGTTTGCGTAACAAAGGATTGGCAGAATGTTTCCAATACAATGTTGTCACCTCACAAACCACAAGAGGAGACTAAATCATCTGTCGGTAACAAATAAGACAGATGGTTATCTGCGGCTAAGCTAAACAGTGGAGACGGGAGTGGGTTAAACAACTTAGCAAATTTCAAATAGATCTTAATGGGCGCCATGTAAATTTAATCCTCCATATACCCTAAGTAACTTACAATATCAATAGCTTACCAATTAATATTGGAAATGAAAGATAAGATCCCCAATATGATTTATTCAGTAATCCTAACTTACATGGATTAACCGACAACGCTTCTAAGACAACAATGCGATATTCACCCTACTACTCGTTTGCGTCGCGTGAGCTCAGGCGTAGGCGCATCGGTGTCAACAAACAATTGTAAAAGGAAGAAAACACCTCATTTTACGTTTTACAAATGAAACCAAATACGTTGTCAACTAGCAGTGAATTCAGCCAGAAAGAGAATCACTATATCAAACAGGTAACAATAATCAAAAGGGCAAACAATTATTTAAACAGGTAACAATAAACAAAAGGGCAAACAATTATTTGAACAATTCAGTATTACACAAATATTCAAATAAATCAAATATAACTTGCGTGCTCCTTTTGGGCCGCCCGGTATATGGTGTTAGGCTATCCCGTAGTTCGACGGAGGTGGATCACCCTGTAGTACGGCAGAGATGGATCACGCTGTAGCACCGCAAGGATAGATCACCCTGTAGCACCACCAAGATAGATCACCCTGTAGGGCATGTAGGGCACAACAAGATGGACCAGTATTGGATCACCAAATAGGACCCAAAAAAAAAAATAAAAACCCTACGAAAGGAAATTCTCAATCAGAATCAGATAAAACCAAAGTGAGATTCAATTAGTCAACTAGTTGACTAATTGAATCTAGTTGACTAGTCAACTAGTTGACTAATTGAATGAGGGTTGAAACTTCTCTTCAAAACTAATATTCAGTTGAATTACGATGGAATCAAAATTTACTAAAATAATTAAAAACACATTCTTACTCTGTGCGGTGCTCTGCACGGAAGTCCTACTGGGACTTGATGAGCGACTAAGAGCCTTCTGTTTCTTATGAATCTGATTTCGGAAATCCTTCCACCTGGCACAATGAGTTCGGTAACCACCACAAATCCTCAAAAGAGTGTAAGTTTCAGACTGCAAATATCCACACCAAAATGACCAATCAATCTTCCACTATACAATCCTGACTTGTAGAAATAATCCCCGTGAAGGATGGCAAAAATACAACCATATATATCCTACAAATCAGTTAGATGTTACCCTTGAACTCTCAACCAAGCTCAACGAAGGTCAACACCGAAATCCGAGAGACTGCCACATCTGACAGCTAACCAGTTGTTGCCACAGTGTGTCCAATCTACGCTACAAGCACCAAGGGGGCGCTGTGCACAACATCATAAACCTATCAATTCCTCCACAGCCACTTGAGACATCATCAACAAGTCCATGACCCATCAAAACCCCTTCTCAGAGCAATGCATCCCTAAAACAACCCTTGACAATTTGAGTAACCGATCAATCCCTCACCCGTGAACAACTGTAGAACTAGCACTAGATCAGTTTTGATCTAGTGCTAAATTGAAACGTAACAGTGTTTTGATGAAAATTTTAGCACATAACAATTTTTCTCAATTTTTTTACAAAGTAAGACTTATTTGTTCCACTGGCATAGACTGTCAAGTTAAATGAAAAAGGTTTCAGATACATTTACTGTCTGAAGTTTTTTTTTCGGACCACATCAACATTAAGAAGTTGATAGTTGACCAACTTGTAATGTAACATTAAATTAGTTCATGCTGCTTGAAATGAAATGCGCGAAAGTGATATTTTAACTTTTCAATGATAATATTGATGGCAATTCAGGCTACGTTTCCACCCTCACTTGAGTTTTCACAGTATATGATATATTCAACATACTGTTTTAAATATTGTCTGTTTAAAAAACAGTTAGAGCTTGGCAAATTTAGCTGTGACCCTGAGAAGCACGAACAATAAAGGCATTTTCAAAGACAGTAAATAACTCACAATTCGCCACACAGAATAATTTCCCCACTTACTGTACTGACACGATGTTCACTACACGAGTTTCTCGATGTTAATGAGCTTTTACCCTACTCTGCCAGATGATCTACAGAGGTACAACTAGGTTTGCCAAGCTGTCCAAACATCAATAAGATTTTGTTTGTGTCTGCATATCAAATACTATTAATGTATAATAAATTCCAATTCACTTGCCAGTACTACTCTCGAAGTTTTCATTGGATTCCTCTTTAATGTACGGTTCATCCCAATCATCCCAATCTGAAAGAGATTCGTCGTTAGGCTGGTACATTGGAATATCACTTTCATAACCTGAAGCTTCCGAACTGCTTGAGTATTTTTCCATCACAGGTTCATATATTACGCAATTTTCCAATTGACCTGTCTCTTGGATAATACATTCTTCGATTTTGTAATCGTATTTGGTAAGAAGTTTGCTGAAAGAGATGATATGTTACATTTCACTGGAATTTATGGTACTGATAATGACAGAAGTGACAATGTTAGTGACAATATCGCTGACATTTAAAACAAATCAGGTAAAATAATTACCCTATTATAGAATGTGTCATCTGCATTATCTCTAAGAAAAAAAAAATATCAAAATCATTTTTTAAGAACAACATTGAGATATATTTCAGGCTCCAAATGATTTGTTGAATGAATATTTTCAATTCTACTCTACCAGCGTTCACTTGGTATAGGTCGAAAGTGGAAATTCAGGATTTGTAGCGTCAAAGTTTCAAGCTTTCATTTGATCATACTTGGGATACAAAAAATATGTGTCCAAGATGAACTATGGAAATACGATTCAGAAATATGTTCAGAAAGCCATCAAAAAAACCTTGAGACTGTTGGGGAATGACCTGAGGTACTTTTTTCGATAAAACATTTCACGGAGTTCATAAACTGATTATTGAATAAATGGAAAATTGACTTCAGTTTCGGGATATATTTACTGCTGAGAGAAAAAACTGAATGTGCTTTTTTGCATTTGCATTTCAGAGGGTTTTGAAAGAATTCGTAAATTGTCATATGCATCATGTATGATGTTTTACATAGGTCAAACTGGTAGGACATTTAAAGCAAGCACAAAAGAACACAGAAACAGCTTCCAGAATGGAAAATTTCAAAACCCATTTCCACATGGAAAGTTTGAAACACAATCTTCTAGAATAACTGCCAGTATCTTGGATTAATTTTAATATCAATTATTTATAAGTGACAATATCCAAATTCAGACTTCTGTTTAATCAGTATCGTCAAAGACAATCTTTTGCATACACAGCCATCAAAGGTTGAAACTAGAACTTCAAAATCAACTGAAACCTTTGCATTTGGCTGAATCACGATAACTTTCTTTGTGACACTTGGCAGTAAACACTAACCTCAATTCAGATTGTGAGATGAAGCAGCTATCAGGTCCATAAATCAAGTCAACCAATGGTATTTCAGACCTATTCCTCTCCTCCACAAAAAATCTTCCTCGAAAATGTCCAAAGGTATTGATTCTATACCGAAACTCGTCTATCATTTTCTGCTCCTCAGTACGATCATCACAATAAAAAGGATAATCCACTTTCTCAATAAACTTATAGTAAATTCCATACGAGGGATTAGCCTCGTCATTTTCTTGTATTTCAAAGTCTGAAATATGTTTCGAGAAACTCATGTATGTGCAAACTCCATGGGAAAAGTTCGGACAGCAAAGCATACAAGTGCAAGTGCACAACATTTTTGCAAGTTCTGTCAAACCTTTGCATGGAGAATTGCTATCACAGATACAGGGGGAGGAGTAGGATACCGAGATATAACTATCGTCTAACATGTCCATTCTTACAAACACTGCCATTTGCGAACATTCTCCTAAAATTTCTGTGCCAGCAGGACCTTCTCCTATCCCAGAGAAAGTCACCGTATAATCAGGAAAACGGGTCACTATGTTGTTTGCCCTGAAATGAAAAGTATTTACATGATGAAAACAGTTTCATTACACTTAAAATTACCATTAGTGAGATTATTTCTAATGATTAACTCACCAATCCTGAAATTGCTCTCTATTCCATTCGAATTTATGATCATAATGTCGCATCCTTTTTGGATCCGATGAGAATAAAATATTGAAATCAGAATTAGGGGTGGTGATTATTACTAACTTTGGTTCAACAAAAGCAAATATATTGTAGGGAAAAGCATCCAGTGCATCAGGATATAGATGTTCAATTCTGAAAAAAAAATGGTGAACATCTCAGAATTTCAACAAAGAAACTTCATTGAAGTTAATTTATATCTTACAGCTCAATAGCTACGACCGCATCAGTACACTCTAATCGATAATCAGGATCGGCCACACTTCCTGCAAAAACACTTATTTGAAGAGGTGACTCTCTCCTTCTCAGATATTCCACAGTAAGGGGATGTATTCTGCCAATATTTTCTCTAAGAGTACATTCCTCTATATCAATGCAGAATATATTGTTCAAACTACTTAATCGTTTTAAGAAAATGAAAAGCCCAAATTCAGCACAACCAAAATCACATAATTTCTTGATTTGCTTTCTCCATCTTTCATCAAGAAGGATTTCAAACACTTTTCCATATCGTTGACGAAAAACCGGTGGTTCGAATTTTAGGTTATTTTCTAGATCCTTTACCACTTCTGTATTATCTAGAAGTGACAATTTTCGTTTTTCTATTGATTCCAAGAATTTTATCCGTTTTCTGTTTCTCAAAAATTGATATAAACAAAAACCCAAATAATGAAAAAGTATTAACATTTTTACTAGGAGTGTAAATCATTTTATAATAACATAAACAATAAACACATGTAGTTCAGTGACGTCATTGTCTATGATGTTCAAATGTAATTTCTCATTTTACCGTTTTACCTACAGGTTGTTTGTTTGTCAGGCACATACCCCTTTCTCACGTAGCTTACTATATAGAATATTCACTTTTTTGTCGTGTATAGCAAAATTACCATAGCATTGAGGTTTCCAAATTGCAAATAATTTGTTGCATGCTATCGCTATCAGGTATCGTTTTCTCTCAAGTTTATTAACGAAAAAATCATTCACAATTTTAATAACCTTGACGAGCATTTCGTAAAATATCCTCGTATTCCTTGTACTCTCAGTACTCCATTCCGTCAATTAATATGGACTGGAATATGAATTGAACAACATAAAAACAACAAGAATGGTCATTTTGAAATTAGAATAGTACCAATAAAACGCACTCATCTTCACTCAAAAGTTGTTTTGTGTTTTGTTTAAAACGAGACTGGATTTCTACCGCTCCGTCATCCAATGATCCGATAGTTTCAGCGGAAAAGATCCATCCAACTTTTTCGTTGACAAAAGACGACAATGTCCAAAATTGTCAATTTTCTGATTGGTGATTTCCCTGCTATTTTAGAATATTCTGAAAATTTCTGGGAACCGGAGCATTTCGCGGGAAATATTTGTTACATTCGTACATTCAAATAGTTTTTCGAATCTACTAGTTTTAATCAAGAACTAACTTTTACATTTATGAAATGAACGAGTTGAAGTTTTTTCACTACGGTTTCTCATACCATTTATCATTATTTCTCACCTAGTTTTACGTTTGATTCATGAAATACAGATGTTGCTTTGCAGTGGTCCTCTCGAATAATAGTTCCATAGTAAAATTTTTCATTGAACCGAACCCAACTTATACCACAAACAATATAAGGACATCTTTGAATTTAAACAAAATGGCAAACTCTATTAGCCAGTACAGCTGAAAAAGCAAATGCGCCACTGAAATCAATGAAGTCGCTCCGGAGCGCCAACTAATTTTTGTTGTTGTTTCATTATTTCATGATTTGTATTACTTTCTTCTCTACTATTATAGTACAGAACACGGAACTATTAATATTTAAGGAGTTCTATGAATTTCTCATCTGCAAAAAGTTGCTGCTGTCTCTAGACACTTTCGATTATTGCTGACATTTGACGTGTATCAAAATTTATTGTCATATTTTATATTCCACTTGTCAATTGTTCAGTTTACTAATGGCGTTTATTGGGAGTTATATGTGGTGAAGTGTTCGTTTGACAAACATCGCTTGATAGACTCCGAGAATAACTGACGACTTGCTTCCACTCCATAAGGTTTGTTATTTTTTCCAATACGGAAGTATTGCGGAAGTTACCTTCCGTAATACTTCAAATTAGTTTTTCAACTCTTCTACTTTATTCAGAGAACGAACTAAATGCTTTGAATTGGTGAGTAATTGTAACAATAAATTAGGTACACATTATTAGCCTGCAGTTGGGTATTGTTACAATATTATATACGTTTGTTGCCACTGTTAAGCACCAGTTCATTCCTAGTAGCAAAATTTTTTGCAAGGAAATAGTCTTGTTAAAAAGCATTTGCCTGAGATACCTACCTGCTTTGAAAAGTTTTTAGCAGTTGAATTTTTTTCTGGATTACCTTTAATTCTATGAAGTTTCTCTTCTCCAAAAATAAACTATCTGGCAATCTTTCTAAATACTATTTGAATATATTCATGCCTAGGTATACATGTATTGTGAAAACAGAATGCTTAATTCTTGGCCAAATCATCAATAAAACTTCAAATTGAATACACTTGTTACCGTGATTTCATGTCAGGAATACAAATGATCCTTCCCTGATGGAATAAATAAATGAAAATTTGAGTTGAATGTTTCATCTATCATTCTTTCATGTCAATGTTATAGATTGATAAAAGTAAGTATTTTTTTTTTGTTTTCCCAAGTGCTATTGATATGCACAAGAAAATTACATTGAACATTTTTTACGATGTTTTGTCGGGCCTAAAATCTAAATTGCGATTTGTACAACAAATGTTTAAAACCAGTAAACGAAGAACATTCAATATTGTGTGATCTTATATACCAAATCTCAAAAGACGATTTATAGATGTGTGTATACTTTATAAGATGGCACAGAAACGAAATATTATTATCCCGAACTCATTTGGGTAAAGGTTTTTTTTGCTTTGAGGTGTCCCTAAATAATGTCGATTTCGAACATGTTATAAAAGGAGAGTACAACATGATTTCGAACTCTGAAACAGCTTTCATTCAACTTCTCTTTGTAGCTGAGAAATGTTCCATTTTGAATAATAGTCATTATCCTTAATTATGACTTTGAGAAGGGAATTATATAATACTTGATTTTATCACCTCTGGCTGATGTTACAATAACCTAGTAGGTAATAATTATGTCATCAAATACATCTGTTATAAACATTTAAAATGTCAAGGTCATTAGAAATTAATTTTGAAAATATTCGGGATTTTATCTTGGACGGAAGGTTTCAATTCTGTGAAAATGTAAGTCATATCTGTTGATGCCAAGTCTAATTATTTATTGCGTTACTATCAAATTATTGATTGTTCAGTTTGATCGCCAATATACTAAATTAGATAAGTGATTTGTAACATAACGCTATTTTTTTTTGGTTTTGTTTCTCGACACCATTGTTCATATGGTTTGTTTTTGACTGCGATCTATATTTACAAGTGAGAAATCTGGTTCTAACTTCTTTAAGATGTTTTGAGTTACGTGTTTTATCTGTCCAACCAACCAACCAACCAACAAACATCCATTTTTATGTATTAGATATGTCCGATAAAATTTTGTCTTGCATTTATATGACGACTATTGCTAACCTTCATGATTCTAGGCATTTCTGCTTATTTTTGCAACCAAGTGTTGCCCATCCTTTGCACTTGGCTACAGCATACTGCTAACTATCCCGTGCCTACGGATTTCTTTTTATGAGAGATATGTCCGATAAAATTTTCTCTTGCATTTACATTAAGACTATCGCATTTATAATTATTTCTGCAACCAAGTGCAGATGATGAGGGCCAAGTAGGGCGAAACACCTATCACTGGTTCGCTTTTTTTGAATGCTAGATGCTGCAGGTAGAAAACGACCCTATATATCATAAAATATTTTGTTCGTGAACCATTTGGAATAAAAAAATTGTTTGCACCCGGTAAAGTGAGTAAGTAAGAATCACAAAATTTTGTTCGAGCACTTTGTTAGCGTTTTGTATGTATAATGAGCATTTATTACTTTTTACTATAAGGAAACGGTATAGAAAAAAATGAACTGGTCAAGTGAAGAGATTGCCAGTGCAAAATACCAATTGAAATATTAGCGAAACGTCGAAAATGAAAAGTTCACAATCCGGGTATATTTTACTATTTATTCTAGTTGGGAGTGTTCCTTTGAAATCACATAATGCTTTTCGTGTTTACTTCGATTGTAGGACTGTTATGTAGATATTAGTAAACGGGACCAGAGGCGATATGCCACACGAATTGAATTAATTTCATAATAAAATGAAATGTTTCAAAATCCAAATACCGGGGTTACGCATTCTTATGATAATTTAAATCTGAAATACGGGTACTTCATTCTTCACGTGCCTATTCCTGTACTGGCTGAAAGAAAACCGTAGGTACTGCGCTCCAAAGTTGAATAATACGCGATTGTACAAAACATAGTCGTATTTCAAGTTTTTTTCAGTTATGCAATCAGATGTAATCGACAGATTGGTTCGAAGTTTATGCAATAATCTGACCAGTATAAATACAGATACGCAGGATTTGCAGAGAAGAGAGAAAGTAAACTGTTCGGCCTTCTCGGCGCAACATCCAAATTATATTGAGAATGGAAAATGTATAATTATTAACTTTGCGAAAACATTTCACTATGTTAATTGCCGGCTGTATTTCTGAACTTCTCGAACCACGTGATATAATTTTGTTCGACTTGATTGAAAATGCATATTTATTTTGTATGAAAATAAGTCAGATTTCGAAACTATAGGCTATTTACTTGAGCAGCGGAGTAATAAACCATGTTCAAGTTGCTGTTATAGTCGTTCATAACCGGGAGTCTGAAACTCTTCTTGTAGCCCAGATATTAAGTGTAGCCTCAAGAGAACTCCCTTGTTGATACTTGAGAGGGGCTCCGTATTTGCACCAATAGTAAAAGACATCGTTGGATGATCTGTTAGATCCGGTAGAAATATCTAGATTTTGATTAACACGCTATAGACTAATGACCAAAGTACTTGATAGTGTTGACACCAAATTTTTCGAAATTTGTGTTTTATTCTGTAATATTTTTGTTGAAGTTCGTATTTTGTTTCAGATGACTGCGGAAGGAATTTAGACAACCAGATTCGTGAATCGATAAACAATCGTTAAATCGTAATTATCGACGGTTTCATTACGGGAACTAACGGGAATTTTACATTCAGTTTCACGCGAAAAATGCCTTAAAGGCTGATCTGTATGACCAACGGACGAGGCGCCGGCATGGCGTCGTTTATGACCAAGAAGAAGAAATACAAATTTCAAGTGGAAATATGTCTGGAAGAACTGCTGGAAGTGTCCTTCGTATCTGCTGTACTCTTCGCCAAGCTGAGACTGCTGGACGGTGGCAATTTTCAAGATCACACCAGCAGGTGAGTGATGTATAATTTTATCTATGACATTAAAGAGCACGACTTTTCAAAAAAATAAGGTAAATGTCCAAGTTTCGCGGGCTACGTATGTTCATGTTGACACCTAAACAGTGACTTTTCGGGATGCATTGGACGCTCTTGGATATCATGTGGATTGTTATCGTCTCAAATTCGACAATTAGGGTGGGTTGCCAACTGCTGAAGAGCCCATTCAGCGAACTCACGTATGGTCGTTTACCTTCAGTTTCTAGGTTAGTTGATTTTTGATGATCTACGCTGGTCTAGAAATACCGTGAAGAACTGAAAAAACTGGTCAAGTA